TGTGCTGAGCCCACTTCTACGACCATCGTCCTGTTGGTACCGTCGGCTTCAGTCAATCATGGTGGAAGTCAGCCTGATCACCCATGCTGTTGTCAATGCACTCAGTCGATGTTCTGGTGCCAAATGTATATGGCATACGTATGGTTTCGAACTTGGTCGTTTTAGTCGTTTCTGTCTCCCTTGCTGAATCTGGTTCCGTCCTACATCTGTAGCTTTTTCGAGTGTGAATCCTTACGAACGCAATCTTCAGACTCTGTATACGAGCCACGCTGGTGTGGCACGCCAACTCGAACAACAAACCTGGCATGTTATTACTGGTACTGTTCAAATTAGAACACTTTCGGTGACAACTCGAGTCTAACTGTTCATTTCCTGTTCGTCAGCCCTTCCGCCCTTCAATCGCCCGTTAGCCAACCAGCCGCCCCTCAATACGAAACCGTTACGTACCGAAAGTGCAACCATTTCTAAGGGGGGATGGCTTCTGTGGTGGTATACTTTTACGAAGATAACGCAGATGCTGAAATGGAAACATTTATTATTGTACTTAATTATAAAAATAATTGTTCTATTGTACTCCTTTTGTTGAACCATACTAACGACTCTAACTCGCGCTCCAAGCGTGTCATTCCCATTCCGCTTCTCTCCCTGGTGGTTGTTAGCCACTCTTGTTTTCCGGTCTTCATATTATTTCGATATCACAAGGTTAGCGATAAATATACTTCATGCAGAACAGTCTTTTCTTTGATTTCCGGATTTTATCGGGATTTGACGTAGTAATCCCACGAAGGTGTATATTTATTTCAACTCACTATAATAGAACCGACAAACGATAAGGTTATTTCGTCATAAAACTGATCACCATGTCCCGATTATAAATATTTATTCCCAATGCTTTTAAACAGTTAAGAACTCGATAAAGACAAATACTGATGTGTGAAACTGGATTTCTAAATGCATGGCATATGTAAAGTAATTATATTACTTTTTCAATCCGCTTTGAACCCAAAAGGTGTAGGTTCACACGCGTCCCGCCCAGTCCAAGTCCAAAAAGATAATTCAAGGAGAGAACAGTTCTGCATTTAATCAAAAAAGGGAATTCAGACAATTACCAAAACAATATTACACCTTCGAGTTTCTAATCACCACAACAGGTTCCGTTACTGGAAGAATAAGTGCTTCCAGTCAGTTACTGCTAGAGTATCAAATCCAAATATACCTGTAGACATATTAAATATCAATTTTTAACAACACATATAGTTCAAAAGGAAACATGGAAACTTCAATATAAGTACAAGATTTTCGAGGTGTGAAATAATAATTATAAACACGTCACATATTTGTTAATCCCCACTACGAAATAGGAAAAACTAAATAGTAGTTACAGCACAACAAAGAAAATAGCTTAACTGAGTATTAGCTAAAATGGCGTCACATATTTTATATTTGCAATTACTTCGATAGTTGTATCGGTCGTTCTGTTTTTGAATAATAAAATGAATTGTTACGACTCGCATTTTCTAATATATATTTCAGAGATGGCAACGCACGAAGTTTAGAAATACATTGAATGTCCATTATCACAAAATTGGTGGGCCCAATATAGGAGCTCAGTTCGAAAGTTTACTCTTCTTACAATTCACAGAACTTCTCAGAATCAAAAGTATTCTCACAACATCCTACTGTTCTACAGTGAACGGTTTTGTCAAGAGACTACACTGCAACTTAAAAAACTTCCCTTACATTTGTTATTGTTAACAATGATTGGGCCAACACTCTTCCATTAGGCATGTTGAGTATAATGTCGATAATGAAACAAGATATATGGTTTTGTCCAGTAGAGTTGGTTTTTCGGACCACTCTACTTCTACCAGGAGAGATTGTCACCTCACGTAAAAGTGTTCCTACTGATATGGCTAACTATGTACAAAGTCTAAAAGAACACATGTGTGATCTAAGAATAATTCTTCTGAACAGAAATCAACATCAACTGTACATACCGAAAAAATGAGCAACATTACTGACGTATTTATCAGAAAGGGTATTACGCAACGTCTTGTGCAACGGACTTGCAATGGAGAATTTAAAGGGGTCAGAAGAAATGAAGACAAAACTAGAAAAACGGGTGCAGTTATCATAAACCGAGTCAAAGCAGCTTTCACCGAAAATGACGGGCAACCAGTTAGCACAAAACCATATAATCACAGAAATGCGAGTTGCAGCTTCGCATGATATATGTTTTATTTTAATAAATATCTATCGTCATCTTATTGCTATCTGTGTGACAGTCGTGACCTATGAAATGCGATTTATTCTCTTCAACATACAATAAACAATGCCGCTTCATAGGGTTATCTTTTTTTACGTCAACTTCGTTTCAATTCGGAAAGTCGTTGACAACTGCATTAAAATATTTTAGATATGGTGAATGACTAACAAACCCTTATTTTGCGTTCGTCGCCGTGGATGAATAAATCTTTCTCGCTATTTTTTCCCTAGTCAAACTCTTTCACTGATATAATGGTTGTGGACAATCGCGTCATTTTGGATAAACTATGTAGCCCGTTGTCATAAAAAAGTACCGGTGACGAACGAGGTTACGCTGCTTGGTTGGCATATTTTGATTCTCAGCCATTAATTTACTGTAGACAGGTTAATGTGTGATAAACAGTGAGATAAGTCTTGATATCTCATCGCGACTACGTTTGTCTATAACATTTTCAGGATTTTCGCGTCCTCTGTTTGGTCACAAACCCTTTATTGGGGCAGCCAAACTCTTAGAACTTTCTTAGATTCCAGCACCAAATTAGGAATAAATGTTACACATACCAAATTACACCTCAGTGTGAGAAGATATTTCCTTCGAAATGAACAACAAATAAAAGTAACTCGAATTCCTATTCATCTATATGTTTTGGTTTGGCTGCTTTTATAGATAAGTTGCACAGTCGTTATTGCATTTCTTTATTACTCAGGCTGTATAAGTAGGACAAGCAATGAAAGTCTCATTTTTGGAGAGCGACGATATTCTAGATCTACATTCTGGAGCTGATCTGTCATTAAAAGATGGTCAATTATGAGACCATTGTATTTTTGAACTGTGTTGACTGCAGTTTTCATGGTCCCAGAACAAGTCATAAAAGAATAGAAATTAAGGTCCCCATTATTTTGTTAGGTAAGTGGGATGAAGTTTGTATTTACCCACTCATGTGTTTGAAAGTATTCTGAAAATAAAAGGAAGGTTTGGACTGTAAACTTCCAATACGTTCACACTTCAAAGGACCGAGAATATCACGGATATTCAGAGTTGAACAACTTTTTTGTCAGTTAACACCTTACAGGCAGAGGATAGACAAAGCCAAGTCAAACAAGGAGTGAAGACTGAGGAGGATAGAAGGAATTTGAATGATGGTTAGAATGTTTAGCATGAGTGAGATAAGCTAGCTAGTTGATACGATGAGATGCGTTGCATGGCGTGCCTCACGGTGACCTGGTGCAGATACGTGACACAAAACCTTCAGTTAGGGCGAGTCCAGTTAAATTAAAGTGACGAGATCCACTTTTGAAGAACTACAGAGTGTTTATTTGCCGCTACATCTGTTACCCTCTAGTGAGATAGTAATGACCCGAACACTTTACCAGCCAGAGGTTTAAGCTCGGCGTACGTTATGGTGGTAATTAGAACAACACATATAAGCGAACAATATTGTTTTCGATTAGATCGTCATCAGGCTTTACTCTAATATACATGAATATTTATATGAAAATGTTAAACCAATCAAGGCAATTTGAGTGATAATCACAATGAAAAGAAAAAGATTGCGTGACTACATCTAATAGGCAAAAGTTCAAGTGGATAATAGGAAAACAGGTGTACTGATAGTAGTAAGAAAATTTATAAAATATGATAACTAAAGTAGGTCAAGGGTGGATGAATAGAATTCAAATAATCATCAAAAACATCAAAAACATTACGTAATAAGCAAATGTGTAAAAATAAAATAAAAAAAATCAAAAAATAAATATATCTCAATCATTAGTTACGTCATATCCGGCCACGGAAGAGATAGGGGTGTCACGAATTTCTTCTGAACACATCAATTAGGGTTGAATGTACGTATTCCTATGGCTTCTGCAATGTGTAGGAGACGGGATCGAACTCCGTTGGGAAATGATGGAGGTATACGATAGATCACCCGAAAAGATGTAGATTTATCTACAATGTGACCACTATCTACCAGGTGTGCTAAGATAGAACTGCGTATTGTTTTTTGACTGACCCTTCGTAAACCATGCTGGGAGATGTAATGGTGGTAAACAATCTCTTGCGATATTTCGTCAAGCAGCATCTGATTATATTTTCTTACTCCAAGGAGTCATGTGATTTATATTATTGCTGTATAAAATAATGTTCTATGACAGTTACATTTTCGTGTTTTACTTCTGACTTCTGTCTTCCCCAGTCGTTCAGGTGACGAAAACAATCTGATACAAGTGCCTAACGGAATACAAATATGATTATATAGGCGAGCAAAACGTACGAAAACATGTAGTGGCACATATACGCTTTCACAATGCAACAGTTATAAAGATAAAACACAAAAGAATTTTTCATTTTTCAAATGTATGATACAAATTTATGTAGACGTATTGTAAATACCTCAACCCGTTTTATTCCAGCACAATATATACAGGCACGTAATAATTTTAATTTTTGGTTTTCCACACTAAGATTTACAAATGTCAGCGGGAAGTAATAGAACACCGAGAAGAGGATGAAGAAAAGATATGCTTTCAAGTTTTTTAATACCCAGTATTCGTGAGTTGATTTTAAGATGTTACATATCATACTAACATACTAACTCACAAACAGCTGCGAAGAGACTAAAAGTTTTGGAGTCGAGTAGCTGGACCTCCATCCATATAACACTACCGAACACCTGGAACCGTACTAAAAAACAAGAATCGAGTGTAAAGAAATCAGTTCGTTTATACTAGGTAGGGAAAAAGATATTGAATATTGAAAGCTGGAAGAGGTGGCTTTTCGCAGCGCGCAAGATGGTAAGGTTGACGTGTCGTATGGCGGCTTGACAATCGAGGTGGCTGTATTGTTTTGTTAGTTAACACTTATTCTTATCCTATGTTCAGCGTGAACTCCAGAACTCTATGGGTTTATATTTTGGTTTAAAATGGTTTCAATACTCAGTATAGTTTTTCACTAGCAAGTACAAAATAACTGATATCACTGCGCTCGTTTCTTGTTGTTTCGGCAAGGTTCTGTGTATTTTGGAGCCTCGTCGATGAGGTTTTCGGTTATTTTAATTGGGGCTGCATTATAGGCTAACTTAAGTTGCTAGGTGAATATCCGTAACGACACCTACAGCCAATAATGATGATTTATAATGCTAAGGCTATGGTTACAAATCAGCTTGCGTGTTTATAACGATACATATCTTTGTTAACGGCTGTAATTCACGATTAAAAAACATTTCACATCAAAGCTGAATTAGCCATGTATAGAAACCTACAACCCTATTCTGAACCTTTATGATGGTGTGGGTTTTTTGAGGTGGCTCCTAGGGCATTTCAAGACTCACCTGAATTCTCATGCTCTTTATGTCAGTACTTCTCATCCGATTCCACTTCTGCTTATAAACCTGCAATGCTCTCAATTTCGAAGTTCTACGGTGGTGTGATCTTGTTCATTCATTCAGACAGATACAACACAGAACTTCTTACGTAAGTACGTCAATTCAGGTTGCCATGCCCCTACAGCACAGAGACGCAGCTGTCAGTTCAAGTCCAACAGTGATAGAAATTATAGTAGTATTAGCAGTGATGGAGATTAGGGAGCGAAGATATGATTCGAAAAGTATAATTCAGTAAGATAAATTTAGGAGAATGATAGAGAATATGACTAATTCAGAAGGTTAGAATTAGAGAGAACACAAACAGTGGATGCACCTATACCATTGCAAACGATTCTGAGCCATGTCGTTCAAGGTCTCTAACCATTGGTGACTTTCGTCTCGCGGACACCAACCATGTAGCCTACATCTACCAACATGACTCAGTACACTTGTCAGTGACTTCTTGGGTTTGTGCCATGTTTTGGTTTGGCCGCCCCTAGCTTTCTTCCAATCTACTCCTAAACGACAAAAAATAGCTCGTCGCGGCAGTCGGTGGTTAGCTATACGTAACACATGTCCCAACCACCTCAACTGATGAAGTTTCACTACTTCATTGATTGACCTGCCACCCTTACCTAGCACCCGTTTCCTAACGACAGCATCGCTTACTCGGTTGTCCCACGGTACTCGAGCAATGCTTCGGAGGCACCTATGATCGAAAAAGAGTAACCTACGAATATTTCTACTCTAACTGTCCATGTTTTACAGCCATAAAGTAGGACGGAGCAAACTGCGCAGTACACCCGTCCTTTGGTTAGCGAACGGATATCACGCCTACGCCATAAGTGACGTAGGTTGGCAAAAGCCAATCGTGCCTTCTGTATCCGAGCTGAGATTTCGTCAGTTAGCAGGCCATCAGCACTGGTGAGACTCCCCAGATAAGTGAAGCGGTCTACACGTTCGACTACTTCACTCCCTATCACTAGTTCACTGATACGAACCGATTTTGAAGCAACATTTGCATTTCCAGGGTGAGAACCGCATCCCGAACATGCTTGCCTTGTTGCTGAGGCTAGTCAGGAGTTTGCATTTTGTCAGCGTCATCAGCGAACAGGACTGTGTCATCAGCATATTCTAAGTCAGCAAGCGTGTCTTCTGGTAGAATGTCTGCTCCTGAAGAGTCGGACGGTGGTAATGTTATCTCTAAACAAGAATGGGGAGAGTGGACATCCCTGACGGACACCACTTGAAGTAAGGAATTCCGGTGACAGTTCTCCATAAGCTCTAACTCGACCTGTAGTGTTCGAGTAGAGAGCCTGTATAAGGTTAATGTACTTCTTTGGTACACCTTTTAATGATAAACACTGCCACGGAACCTCACGATCCACTGAGTCAAATGCCGCCTTAAGGTCCAGGAAGACTACTATTGTCGGACGCCTAAATGTGTTCCTGTGTTCCAGGACCTGTTGTAGTGTGAAGATGTGGTCTATTCAGCCACACCCAGGTCTGAAACCAGACTTGTTTTCTCTAGCCTACTCTTCACGATCTCTAGTTAGTCGTCTAAGTGTAATGGAGGCTAACAATTTAGAAACTATACTAGTTAGACTTATTCCCCTTTGATTGTCACAAGAAGACTTTTTTCCTTTCTTATCAATCGGGACAATAAGGGATTCAGACCATTCGGATGGGGTTACTTCCAGTTCTAAGGTTCAGCTTAAGATCTCAGTCAACCTAGCTGCTAAAACTTGCCCAACATCCTTAAACATCTCAGGGGTAAGCCTATCAGGACCTGCTGCTCTACCTCGCTTCCGATTTCCTATGGCTTTCTCAACTTCATTAAGAATAGGAGGACTTATGTCGGTTTCACATTCAGGATAACTGGAGATCGTGGGCAACCGAAGTGTGGCTCGAGGCCAGTTGAACTGATCCCTAAAGTGTTCTGCCCATCGGTCCAGTCTCCTGGATTGAGAACAAATAAGTCCCATCATTTTCCGAGATAGTCTCACTTACACTCGGATTCCTAATACCAATTTCCCTGATAAGTCGGAAAAGTTGTCTACTGTTGCCGATCGCCGCTGCCTTTTCCATCGCTTTTGCTTTCGCCACCCACCACTGTTCGCGATCGTTACGTAGGCTTTTTATCAGCCTACTCTTAAGCTGATTTCGCTCTTCCCTTTCAGAGCCAGGTATGGTGAGTTCACGAGCGTCTTTCAGTTCAGTGGACGCTTCTGAGATCCACGGCTTCTTCCTTACCCTACTAGCAAATATCACTGCTGTTCCCACAGCCTTTTTGATATTATTCCAACCTGCCTCCGGATGGGAATCGCTTACTTGGTCGCCTAACTGCTTTTCTAGTTCCTCCTGAAATATTTTCTTAGCTTGATTATCATTAAGTGAAACCCTAAGAGGCTTTCTTAAGGTATCTTTCCTACGCCCAGTAAGCTTCAAACAAATACGCGCTAGCACTAGGACATGGTCTGAATCCAAACATTTGTCACAGAACGAGCGACAGTCCTCTATCGAACCTCTCCATCGGTGGCTAATGGCGATGTGATCTAGTTGGGTCCAACGTTGAGACGACTTTCGAGGTCGTCAGGTCAAGTGTTCGCTAGGAATAGGTGGTTATCTGAGCATATTTGCAACAGACGGTCACCATTGTTTGTTCCCTGAGCCGCGACACCATATTATCCACCAAGGTGTCTTTCATTTTCAGTTAGTCTACCTACTTGAGCATTGAGTCACCAGCCATTACAACTATATCGAAGCGCTTAACTTTTTGGAGGTCACAAAGCTTCCTGTAAAACTCATCGTTTACATCGTCTGAACTGCAGTCAGTGGTGGCCTAGGCTGATATGACGAATAGGCAACGACGAGTGTCCCTATCCTTTCGAATCCTTACTGTCCCGTTTAGTCGGACGGCGCACAAACAACTATCTACAGGGATTCATTCAAGGAGAGGTTGTTCTGCCCTACGACTCAATACTATAACTACACCAGCGAAACCCAGGGAAGCAGCATCAGGGCTACCGGATACACGAAGGGTAAATCGAGCTGCTTCTTTATCTTGACATGGTGAGGTCAAGTGAATGATGCTACTCGTATCCTGTATGCGCGTTTCCGAGACGCAGCATACATCGATGGCACGAGATTCTAAAGTCGTAGCTCATGATGCCTGTTGCCTTATTTGACATAATGTACGTACATTAAATGCTCCAATATGTAGTTTAGAACGGGTTTTAAGGAGACCAGGAACGACGTCTCGCGAACTCGTATCGTTTCCATTAGCTATGCACTGTGATAAATGAGTGTGAGAAGAGTTAGTCGTGGAGATAAGAGAGATATTAGGGGGTGTAGGAAGGATTTGATTTCGACCAATTTGGTCACGTGTGCTGTTACGGGTATGAGGGCGGTTGTCACTTCCCGGCTGCCCACACCGTGGAAGGTTGTTTCTTGAGGGACCTGAAAAAGAAGATAGATTAGTGTTGGTCTTAGAGACCTGGGAGCGTGGCCGCATAGCCCAAGGGACAACTGCTTGAGGCTAATCACGCACGGCATTTTTATGAGTTTTTTGAGTGTTAGCTCCGCACTTGAAAGCCCTTAGTGGGCACCTTTACCGACGGAGACGGAAACCCGTGCCTTAGGGAGAGGTGTGACATTTTTAGGTTCGACCTTTTCTAACCCTTCCTTGTGAGAAGGCAGCATCGCTGGAGATTCTGGTTGTCAGAGGGAAACACCTTACTGCTGTCACACTCCTCTGCAGTCAGCAGTACGACTTCGCCCTCAGACCTTGAGTAGCTGTTTTTAGTCTCATCGTTCTGTAGTCGACCTGCCTGGCATGGGAGAACCTTCGGGAACATATGCTCCAGCCAATATAGCTCGGTTGGGTCATCACGATAGGCAAGCCCGACCACCACTCAAGGTCAGGATCCGGGCTTTGGACCGGCAGTAGATCCGTAGGGTCTACAGGCGGAGTTCGAAAAACTAAAAGTGGGACTGACATTATTGGCTAGAGTTAAACAACTAGTTTTACCTTGGGATTCGCCCTTTGTAGAAGATTATTTTGAGATTGAAAGCTTCTATCTTTGCATCGATAGTAGATTAACATCTAGAAAGGACTCTGTGCTATTAAAATCAGGTCGAGTATCAGCAAGCAATGCTTTAAGACATTTTTAGTGTTAGTTTTGGAGGGTCTGCGGACGATTCCTGTGGTACTTAGCTGCAGATAGGTTATGTACCAGTTCGTAAACAAAATCAACCATGTGGGAATTGTTTATTCGAACGCAATATTGTACGGTTGTGAAAATATATAAATACCTATCCAACAAAAATCGTATTTCTTCCTCAAAGTATTTCAGTTGTCATATATTAGTTTATAATTAGAACTACTAAAGTCATCCTTAGTCTGTATTAGATTCGCTTTGTTCCATTTGCTTGAACTCTACAGCCACTACTCAGCTACCATAAGCTAGGTGTTTGTAGGTTTCAAATCTATGCCGTGTTCTTGATAACTGAGCCAGTTTTTTCGAGTCATAGTTCCATTACCTTTAAATAAGTATCAAGATTTTGCAGTGAATTATTCAAAATTGACCTAAGTCTATCATCAGATTTGTTGAGCCGATTTAGGACTGTTGTTAAGTAGTTTTAGTATCTTTATATTTAATTAGTTTAGGATATTTTAAGGTCGGAAAGCTAAGATAAATGTTGCAAAAACACTTATATAAGTTTGGAAAAATTTAGTCCCATTTAACTTGTGTTTATTCAAAGGTGTAAAAATTGTGAGCGCCAAAAATACTAGCTACTTGGTGAACGTATAACTTTTGTTTCTTTTAGCTGTTCAACAGAGTTGCCACTTTTCGACTCCTGAGTCAGATACGGAGTATTCGCACCTCGACACAATGTTTGACCGAACTCAAACTTACGTTTGCATCATCAGGCCAGGCTTTTTACAACAATGTTGAAGTTAAACAGGTTGATGTCCCTACTCTGAATGGTCGTTTTGGTGTTTTGGCTGAACATGTGCCCACAGTAGGTTGTCTGAAACCTGGCATTGTTGCGGTTACTGAAACTGATGGTAGTGTGAAGAAGTATTTTGGTACGTTTTGTCAACTTAGCAAGAGCATTAACTCACATATTTTTGTTAATAACACTGGTCAAGAATGTTAGATAATTGTTATTCTATTAGCACTTTTATATGAATCGCCGCTTCCTTTAGCTGTTTGTGGTGGTATTTCGTACTCTGAGCTCCATATTTTGTTTGTGAAGCTTTCATTGTTCTTCTGAACAACATCATCAGCACAAACTTCAGATGAAAGTGAAGCTCAGAGAACGGAACAACAACACAATCATCCACCTGAGCTACGAATTCTTTAGCTGTATTAGTCTTCATGCTTTATGAGTAACCATGGGAAGAATTATAATCAGCATCGTAGTTCCTTTCCATATAACTCTACATTCCTAGCAAGGTATTCATTTTATTTAATTATTTCTGACTTCGATTATTATCAGTATTTGTTTGTGAAAGCGGTACCGCGTTTAAAAATATAAACTGCTCGAAAGAGGTGTAGTGCCTCATCTTAGTGTCACAGCTGGCGGCGATCATATTGTAAAATGGTGTACAGGAATAACAATAATCAGGATATTTTGTTGCGTCAGGATAAATTCGAAAAATAGTTTGCGGAAAAGCTATCTTACGCAAAGCATTATAAATTTTAACGAGAAAAATCTCAGTGTAAGTATACTTGCATATTGTTGACGAGTGTAGGTTTATTTATGAGCGATTGAGTTGTAGTCATCTGGTGATAAATATGATATCGTGTGGGACCTACTGTCTAATAGTTGTGATCTGTGCATTTGCATTAATAAGCCAAACACGTATCAGTTAATAAACATTTATTCAATTGAACATAGTGGTCTACTAAAATATGTATTTTATTCTTACAAAAAAAATAAAGAAAATACAATATTTCAGGTTAGTTATATCACAGGCTGACATCAACTGAAAAGTCATTAAAAAACAGAAAACACTGAGGAGCTGTTTTTTCCTAGTTTGTGACTCAGTTGTCTAAAGGTATCATCTTTGCCATAAGGCCCAAAGGTGAGATTATGAGTGCGTAATATCGAGAGAACATAAACAGGTAGAGTCAGATGGTCTCTGGTTCTCCAGTTGATGTCAACCCACAAATAAACCTATTTTCAAACAAAAAATCTTTTCAGCCGCCTTCCAACATAAATATGGTTTTTTAATACCAATTACAACAAGGACTTTTTAATGAAATACATAATAGAAATAAATTGATTACGTAAAAACAATGTAGAAAATATGACTTCTGTTATTCTAGTTTTGTCCAGATTAAAACAAAAATACTATTTAAGCTTGAGTTCATTCTCATGATATTTGATACGCTTATTATTGAGTGTACAGCACTTCACAGTTTAGCTTGATCAGCACTGTATATTACAACAATAATCCGTATTGTTAGATGAGAACTTTATGCAATGAGAATCTGATTACAGTAAGAAAGAAATAAACAACAAAGTAGAGAGAATAATTAACAACAGTTTAATAGTTTTATGTCTTTGTTTTATTAGCACCAACAATTTGACGAATAATATCAATAAACCGTGGATCCCCCATAATATTTACATGTTCTGCCCCAGGCAACATAAAATATTTTATACCAGGCCAACGTTTACAAACTTCCAAACTTCGTAGACTAACAGTTCCATCACCGTTCCCAGTAATCAATCTTGGCACTTGATCTGGAAACGCACTATGAAAGAAACTAGGCGGTGAATAAACCATTTTGTCAGTAGTACTTAAGTTTGCTCCATGAATACAATAGATTTCATCAATATCGCTTGGTTTTTCAAATGTATCAATTGTAGATTTACTATCCAACATCATTTGAAAACCTAAGGACAAAAGTGCATAAGTATGCAATAGTACAATGAGAAAATTTTGAGTAAAATAACTCTTCAAAAGTTTCTGTTAGGGATGTGCAATCCCTAAATACTACATTTATGAACAAGTCAATTTTGGAACTCACAAATTAATTTCAAGGGAATTTTGTCCATTGACTTCCAATATATTTTTACACGCATCGGTCTATTAAATACGGAGTTAATTTATTTTATTTCCAATGTATCTTCACTGTATTAAATAGTGCACTGGGATTTGTGTTCAGTAAAAACTACTCCGTCCATACATTATACTCATTTCAATCGATTGATCTATGACTGAATAGCTTTGCTTCTTTCTTTGAAACATAATTACGGTTGAGACCTGTTGAGTGAAGTAGTGTCCAAAAATACTAGGCCATGGAAAAAAACAATAGTTCGAAAAATGCTTTTTTCAAGAAATTGACACAATCTCTACACTTATATATTGTAACAGTTTAGAACAACAACAATGAATTGAAATAATTAACTTGATTAGATAGTGATTTCTTGCAAACACGCTACCGAAATCAACTTGTTTAATTTCTGAATTATTTAGGAGAAGTGAAATAAGTTACTGCATGAATCTCACTGACGACTGTAACAACTGTTGTAAAGGTTTTGCTAATAAAACATTCTCAAATACATAGGTAAAACAAGTAGGAAAACGGGAGGTGCAAGTGAAAATAATTAAAACATTTAAAACTATTTCGTGATGTATTATTCGGCATTAAATTCCTTGGGGTTTTCCTGGTTTCTGAAGTTATTTATTCCTATCCAACATGACCCAGGGAAAATGTATGTCAAACGAAGTTGTCACACTGAAATTCAATGCAGAGACAGAAATTGATGACATAGAAAGCGAAGGATTGGATGGTATTGTTCAAGTAATAGTAGAGGGCAAAACAACACCAGAAGATGCAGAATAGATGGATTCGCACCAGTGCGACTGATTCTGAATTGTATTCTCTAAGGTTTCTAAATATAGGTTACATTTAATATCTTAGAAACTCACTCTATCAGCCAACATTTTATACATTGTTCAAATCAATAGTGAATAGTGTGGTTTCAGTATCCATGAGTCAAGTATCCCGATCGTAGCTGCTACCTTGATGTGGTGTTCGGGCTTGCCTATCGTAATGACTCAACCGAGCTATATTGGCTGCAACATATGTTTCTGTAGGTCCTAACATGCCAAGTAGGTCGATTTGAGAACAACAGTAAAACTACAAGCAGCAAGTTTAGGTCTGAGGGCGAAGTCGTACTGCTGCCTGTAAAGGGATGTGACAGCAGTAAGGTATTTCCCTCAGACAACCAGTATCTGCAGCGATGCTGTCTTTTGACAGGGGAGGGAGGAAGGGTTAGAGAAATTCGACCCTAGAAACGTCACACCTAACCTTAACCCACGGATTTCTGTCTCCGGCAGTAAGGCCTTTTAAACAAGAGCGTAGTTAACACTTTCAGAAATTCTCATAAAAAGGCTGTGTGTGACCGCCCTCAAGCAGTGCATCATTTCAACCTATTGTTTATTTGAGAACGACGGCCATAATTGTAGCTGAATGCATTTGCACCAGACTTGACGTTATGCAGAGTCTATTATGTGTTTCACTTTGCACCAAAAATGCCAGGTGATGTCATGCTAAGGAACTTTTTTTCAAAGTGAAGTAAAGTAGTTTGTGTAATTGCTGAATCCCATAGATTTTGGGTTTTGTCTCATCTTGATTCTTATTAGCCTTAGTTTGGTAAACCATCTTTCATGGCATATTTAGCTTTCGGCTCCACTAATCTCTGTCATCAACTTTTCTTATTATAAACTAAGTCCACGTGCATTTGTTTTAAAAAATCGAATCCAACTATTTATCAAGTGCACAGTTGTCATTGTTTGGAAATCTGGACTAATAGTGGTTTTCTGACAAAACTCAGCCTGAGAAATAAGTTGCTGCTGTACAATCTAATTGTGTTTAATTATCTTCATTTCTTAGGAAACCGTGACTTTCTAGTCTGAAATATGGCTCTGCAACCGAATTTATAATTCGCGTCGTAATTTTCATTTAAATATTACTACAAATAAATTACAAATTTAACTAAGTCATTGTTATCGAATTAGTAAATATAACTATTTCAATCTTTAACTTTTTTTAGTCAGTAGTGGTATTGTAACTGTCAATAGCGACTCAACTATTCAAGTTCTTGCCGAAGAAGCAGCCGCTCTTGACCAATTAGACCTACAAGCTGTTAAAGATGGAATGTCCAGAGCACAATCCGAGTTGTCGAGCGCTACTACAGAACTAGGAAAAACAGAAGCCCAAATCGCTGTTGAAGCATTCGAAGAAATGTCCCGTGCTCTTCAGGAACAAAGTTAACGTGTAATTTTCATTTAAATCCAGGTGTTTTAGTTCGAATAGTTGTAGCTACATAATTGTATATTTTCTGAGTCTGTTGTTCTTGAGAGTTAAAATACGTTCTGACTAGAAATTGCCGTTGTTTTTCAATCATAATACTTGGGAGTTGTACAAGTGCTTCCGGATTTTTGGTATTACCTTGAATGAATTATGTTCAAGCCATGGTCGTAGATAAATTTGAATCACAACCGATTATATCGAATCGCACCGAGTCTAAGCCATGTATTAATAATTTTGTAATGTATTTCAAACATCCCGCTTTGTATATCTATATGAACTCTAAGGACATTATGGGGCTCTTGAAGAATATTAGTTTCAGAGTAAAGGACTGCAATTATAGTAGGTGATTGAACTAGTGATGATAAGATTACTAAGAGAAGTGTAATTTACCCAAATTTACAGCTTTATAGTGACTAAGTGTGATCCCTTAACAACTTGAGAAGCCCAGTTTGAGAGTATTTTATTGGTAGAGCAAACTGCCATGGAGAAAAACTGGAAATGGATTAAAGAAGCAGTAACTGTTGCAGGTCATAAGGTTTTCGGTCACAAGAACCACCATCACAAGTAATCGATCTGTGTTGATATTCTGGATAAGATTCAAGAAAGGGAGGTTAGGGAGATAGAAATCAATAATAGGCGAACAAGAGCAGAGAAAGCGAAGGCACAAGCCGTATACACAGATGCAAACAAGCAAGTGAAGAGAAGCATTAGATTTGGTTAACGGAAATATGTGGAAGATCTAGCAATGATAGCGGAAAAATGGGATGGAATTCATCATTATGCATCAACTTTCTTGACTGGGAAGAAGCATTTAACAGCCCGGACAGGAAAATATGAATTCTCCTTCGAAACTATGGTGTGTCTGAGAAGTTAGTCAACATCGTGCGAAAATTGCACAACAGATTACATCGCTCACAGATTCACTCCGAGAGAAGACTTATGTAAAAGGAAACTGCTTACTCGCTGTTTTCTATCCTCTAGAGATTGACAAGGCTATCGAAACCTCAACATCTTAGAAGCACAGAATAGAAAGGACAGCTGGGATGCAGCTAGACTATTTCGCAGATGACTTAGCTCTTCTATCTCGAACACAGGAAAAAACGGACAGTACAACAACAACAGCAGGTATGAGAATACACAGGTAAAAAGTGAGATCCTTAGATACAACAGAACATACACGAACCAAACCACAATTGCCGGAGAAGCTTTGAATGATGTAAATACGCTGACATACCTGGGTAGCATTATTGATAAGTAAGAGGGATCTGATGCCGTTGTAAAGATATGGATTAGCAAAGTAAGAGCAGCCTTTCTGCAAAAGAAGAACACCCATAACTCAAAAGAACCAACCAACAGCAAGGTTATAATTTACAACACCGACGTCCGGATAGTTGTGCTGTATGAAGCGGTAACGTTGGAGAACTGCGGAAGCCATCGTCCACATTTTACAGGTATTTATTACCAGTTGTCTATACGAAATACTTTGAACCCGTTGGACAGACACCATCATCAGCAACCCACTGTGGGAAAAAACCCAGCTTTCAGGTAAGAAGATTTGTTGAAAGTGGTGGCGGCTAGATAGGACACACATTGCAGAAGTTCTCAAATGTATCACGAGGCAATCTCTAACCTGGAACCCTGAAGGCCAAAGGAAAAGAGTTAATCCAGGAAACGCGGAGGATTGAAGGCGGACATGGGAGGAATGAATAGCAACTGGGTAGAAATGGAGAGGCGGGCAAAGTTTGTTTGTTCATATTACTCAGACATAAATTTTTTGACCATAGTATAACAAATACGACCTCACATTACTGTTGGTGACGTAAGTTCCCCAGAATTCACTTGGGAAAGCTCCTAAGCTGTAATGTATTTCTGGAATTTCGATTTTTTATGTTTTCGCGCATAAGTTTGACCTTGACTGTCATTTGTCGATGGATTACATTAGTAAGCTGTTTTTGTGGCTCTCCCAAGGACGTTTCTATCATGTATATGTATAAATAAGCTCGATTTGTGTGCTTGTCAACCTCGCATTATCTGTGGGCTTGTAGAATACATTCTCTACGCCTTATCAAGACTTCTTGCTTTTGTTAGCAGGGCCTAAGACAACGGATTAGAATAGCCTTTCGTGTCTCTGTACCGTTGATCTTCGTTCCGCTTACCGAGTAAGGTGAACTCGTAATAATTTCAAGCATATCAAGTACATATTCCTCTGTATGTATACGCAGACTCTGCCGCTGAACAACATTTGTACTTTTAGATGTATGTAAGGTGGGTAAAAATACAATTATAAAGAGACAAGACTGGTTTAATTTTTTATTATCAAAAATAAAGATAAGTATGAAGTAAACATAATAATTATGATAAATAAGTAATTAAATCAAAGAAAATAATTACAAACTTAAGAGTTGAGTGCGCATACCTCAACAAAATAGAATCTTATCTTTCATCCGTTTCCACAGATCAGCGTTCAAAAAAGTTTAAGTACATAACTTTAACAAAGATTCAAAGGGGTTGCTCATTTAACATATAACAAGCAAGCGTATGCTCTTTGGATGAGGGCTATTCTAGAATGATGGAATTTTATCATCAGATTGGCTTAACGTATCACCGTTATTTTTTACATTTGATCCCATATTGTTCATACTCGTTGTAACTGAACCATTTTGTAAACGTTTAGTTGCACTTGAACATTTATTGCGTAATTTGAAGTAAAGTATTACGGCTACTAGTATTGAGACGATTACGATACAAAAACTAACCATCACGATCAGAATAATTTTCCCCTGCTGTTCTTCTTCTATTGTAGTTGCTCTAAATGTTTTTAAGAGAAAAATTAAGAAATAAAAAAAGAAACGCTAGGGAATTTACAAACATTCTTCGAAAATATACTTCGCGTAAAACTGAATAAATTATACCATTCATAAAAATATTTACTAAGACGTGTCAGTCTCATTTACCCGTTGAATTATTTATCACAAGTTAAGTTAAACCTTTAATAAGGTTCTGAAGAGTTTTACAGAATTGAAAGTTGAAAAATAATAAAATCATTTTATTAGTACTATTATTTCAATTTCTTGAATCGGGTACTCTAAACAATGAACAATTAAAAGGTTAAGTAGAACCCGACTGTAGCTGCTACCTCAGTGTAGCGGTCGAGCTTCCGTATTGTGATGATCCAGTCGAGCTGTCTTGGCTGGGACACTTTATTTTGATCCTACAATGCAAGGCAGACGGACTAGAAAACGTTACAAATAAAAGTGGCAACCAAAATTCCAAGAATGAAGTTGTGACTGTATTGGGGCGTGAAGGCAGTAAGTTGTTTCAAGTGTCCGCAATAATGCCTTCCTAAAACCAGAAGAAAAAGTCGAAAAAGACTAGCGCCACATTTCTTTCTGCAGCGGTAAGGATATCGAAGTACACACTATATATATATATATATATATATGTACACTTTATATATATATACATTAAGGTCATATATGACTGGCCTCATGTAGTTTTACCATGTGTTCTATGATCACTAAAACTATTATTCTAGCTTATCTTTCAGGTACCTTTAAAACAAATACCTCAATGTGTATGCGACCAGAATGTAATGACGGACCACATACTGCTAAAAACGCTTAAGATCTTGTTCGCGATTAAATCCCTTTTCACTTCTGAATATTTATTCTACTCGCAATTTCAAACTTTTCTACAACTGCTATATTTATAAGGAGGCCCCGTCAATCCTAACGGTTTTAGTCTCTTAAAACGTTGCTCAAAACTACATGTTACAGCTTGCAATATTCGGACCTGGCATGAAGAAGGAAACAAGCTTCCTTACTCTACGTCGTCGAGATGTGTACAGGACCCGAGCGTAGAAATTCAGTCGACCTCACTAATCAGTACAGGGAACCGGCGAAACATGCCCTCTGTGTATCTGGAGGTTCGACTGGTGACAGCAGAAAGGGTTCCTAGAAATCAGCTCCATGACGGTAAAATAAGAAGTATACTACGAAAATAACTAAAACACAGTTAGTCACCAACATGAAAGATGCTCAGATGTAGGCTGACATTTTATCTCAACAACTGAGAAAGGGAGTCTCATCAGTGCCGATAGCTTGGTGTCTGACGAATTCTCAGCACGGATACAGAAAGCTCGATTGGCTTTTGCCAATTTGCGGCACCTGTGGCTTAGACAAGATATCCATCTGTTAACCAAACGACAAGTCTACTGCACAGCAGTTCGCCTCGTCCTACTCTATAGGTAAGAAACATGGCCAGTAAGAGTACAGGATATTCATAGGCTATTAGTATTCCATCATAGTTGTCTTCGAAGCATTGCTCTTGTATCCTGAGACCATCGAATAAGCAGTGTTGGTGTTAGGAAGCGGGCACTAGGTAAGGTTGGCAGATCAGTTGATGAAGTAGTGACTCTTCATGAGTTAAGGTGGTTGAGGTTTGTGTACGTACGATCCACCACTGTCGTTTGGGTTAGATGAATGGCAAAGACCATGAAGTCACTGACAAGTGGATTGAGTCATGTTGGTAAGTGTAAACTACCTGGTCGTGATCCGCGAGGCTATATTAAACGACGGTTAGAGTCTTTGAATGTCACGGCTCAAAATCGTTAGTAATAGTGCAGGTGCATACATTCTCTACTTCCTCTTAAATCCTAATGTCTTGGATTCCTCATCAATTCTATCTTTCTAAATGTATTTCACTGAATTATACTTCTTGAATAATATATTCGTTCCCTAATCTTCTCCATTACCTCTGGTATTTCTACTATCTCTACCACTTTGAGATTTGAGCTGACAGTTGCGTCTCTGTGCTAATGTGGTATGGCAACCTGAACTGATGTACGCACGTACGAAGTTCAACGTTGACTGAAGGCTCTCTAATTTGATAGTTTAGGTAGTTACTCTCTAAAATTCGATTAAATCTTTATGCACTGATCTGTCTCACTTCGGGTAGACTAGTAGTATCACAAAGCTTTAGATAAAAAATATACATGAATTCGAAGTTGACAAGCAAACTAATTAAACGACATGGAAGCTTGACATTTTATTACAGCAGAATAGGTTTATTCTTTATGTCACCCGAATTAATCACGGAATCACTTTAAATTTGTTGACTTTCTGTTGCGACAAACTGCAACACATTTAAGTGATATGTCGATACATAGCTATTATATCCGCCTATAAATATCTAATTCCTTTCACTAAAAGTATTCTCTCAAGCATTTAAGGTACAAATAGTAATAATAATATAATAATCTTACTTTAATTTATATAGCAAAGCTCCTAAACTCCATTGTAATTCGGTTTTGTTAATCTCAAGAGTAGGAATAAGTTTGTCATAATTAGTTGGAAAATGCAACCCTTTATGAAATGCACTAACTAAATATGAAGCTTTAAAGCATATTAATCTGCAAAGTAATATTAAATAGATAAATTGACCAGTCAGTCAGCAATTGGTATACACAATAGTAGGTCATAAAAATGTTTAGTTGCACGAAATATATATATATATATATATATATATATATATATATATATTGTTAAGGTACTCAACATTAAAATAGGATGAGATTGTTTAGGTTGCAGCTCAAGCGAATTTCACTATAGATGTACATATTCGGACTACAGACAGTTATTATTATTGGTACATGTAGAGCAGAGCTTATCAAGTCAGATGAATGTATGGAGATAAGCGAGTTTCCAGCCGAAAGAAAATATCATCGCTTTTAGGGACGCTATCCTGGTCCTTTTAACGAGTTATGGAATAATGTGAGTATGGCGTGATTGATACGGCGAAAACGTTCTCAACATTATACCTCAATAAGACAACCAATAAACAAAATGTCAATAACACTTCAATTAGACCTAGTCAATGCATTTCGAACAAATAGCACCTAAATGACATTACTTACATTGCCAAAATATCTTAAGTACAAATTTTAACCATGTTGAACATACAATGATGGGAATTCAAATTCCTTTTTTCTACTTACATAAAATATCATAACTGGAGCCGAAAATAATTTACAATTAATGACCGCTATTTGATTTATTTGATTCATCACAGTGTATGTTAAATTAGCTGTAAGTGAAGAACGAGTTAACTGATGATACATTAACGTGTTCTATGAATATCATACACAAATAAATGACTGTGAACTTCATCCTGTAATGATCTCCTTTTAAACTTGTGGACATTTATAGCCCACAAATACCAATGGTGAGAGTTCGCTCACAGAAGTTCAGATCAAATGAAGGATAATTGATATTTGACAGTTTACTGACAAATTGTGTACATCTGTTTGCTTATCTACTCATAAATAACGTCCCAAAATGTATAGCGTTAGTTATTAGTTCATAAATTTTAACTCTTTAACATAAAATAACGTCTATCTTAGTTTGTTACATGAAGGCTACAAATAGCTGAAAACCAAGTATTTATTCACCGGATTTACTGAATGAGAACAGGCTCCATATCATACAAAATCAACCTTCCGGAATCATCAGCTTTTACTATTAGACAGTTGGAATAATAATCTATGGAGTAGACTCCATAGATTATTATTCCAACTGTCTAATACTGGCTAACGTTGTAATACGATGAACATATGTAGCTTGGAAATACCTTTATTTAAATGGTTGAGTACTTTCGAGCATCAAAAAATAGAGAAAAGTATGGACGGAACTCACTTTTTAAAGCTTAAAAATGAATTAAATCTAGAATGGAAAGAAACGAAGAGAATATGAAATATTTGATAAAATAACTTTATTTAGTAATGATCATTCAAATTTCGACATAAATACTGGTGCATTAATAGATATTTTATCTATGTGTATAATACAGTCAGCTAAGAAAGAATAGTCAGTAAGTAATAAACAACAGGGAACTAGGCATATACTTGCATCAACAACTCCCAACATGGCTCGATGCAGTTGTCAGCGACTTCATGGATTCGTATCATGTTTCGATCTGGCTACCCCTAGCTTTCTCCCAGTTTATCCCTACACCACAAAACACCGCTCGTCGAGGCGGCCGGTGGTGGATCGTACGTACACAAACCTTAACTCATGAAGAGTCACTACTTCATCAACTGATCTGCCAACCTTACCTAGTGCCCGCTTCCTAACACCAACACTGCTTATTCGATGGTCTCAGGATACAAGGGCAATGCTTCGAAGACAACTATGATGGAATACTAATAGCCTATGAATATCCTGTACTCTTACTGGCCATGCTTCTTACCTATAGATTAGGACGAGGCGAACTGCTGTGCAGTAGACTTGTCGTTTGGTTAACCCGACCGTAGCTGCTACCTTGACGTGGTGGTCGGGCTTGCCTATCGTGATGACCCAACCGAGCTATACTGGCTAGAACATATGTTCCTCAAGGTTCTACCATGCCAGACAGGTCGATTGGAGAACGATGAGACTAAAAGCAGCTACCCAAGGTCTGAGGGCGAAGTCGTACTGCTGACTGCAGTAAGGTGTTTCCCTCTGACAACCAGAATCTCCAGCGATGCTGCCGTCTCACAAGGAAGGAAGGGTTAGAAAAAGTCGACCCTACCTCACGGATTTCCGTCTCCCTGGGTAAGGGTGCCCACTAAGGGTCTTTAAGAACGGAGCTAATCCTCAAAAAACATTTCATAAAAAGGCCGTGCGTGACCGGCCTCAAGCAGTTGTCCCTTGGGCTCTGCGGTCACGCTCCCAGGTCTCTAAGACCAACACTAATCTATCTTCTTTTACAGGTTCCTCAAGAAACAACCTTCCACGGTGTGGGCAACCGGGAAGTGACAATCGCCCCCATACCCGTAACAGCACACGAGACCGAATTGGTCAAAATCAAATCCTTCCTTCACCCCCTAATACCTCTCTTATCTCCACGACAAACTCTTTCCACATTCCTTTATCAACCTGCACCGCTAGTGCAAACGATGCGAGTTCACGAAACGTCATTCCTGGTCTCGTGAAACCTCGTTCTAGACTACATGTTGGAGCATTTAATGTACGGACATTGTGTCAAATAGGGCAACTTGCTTCCTTAGCTAGGACTTTAGAATCTCGTGCCATCGATGTATGCTGCGTCTCGGAAACACGCATACAGGATCCGAATCGCGTCATACACTTGGCCACACCATGTCAAAATAAAGAAGCAGCTCGATTTACCCTTCGTGTATCCGGTAGCCCTGATGCAGTCAGTCAGTCAGATGCAACATAGAACTTTGTACATAAGTACATCAGTTCATGTTGCCATACCACATCAGCACAGAGAAGTAATCGTCAATTCAAATCCAATAGTAGAAGAGGTAGTAAGGGAATTAGAAATAATCGGAGGTTAGGATTAGAAGATACTATTCAAGAAGTATGATTCAGTGAGAAAAGTTTAGAGAGTCGAAACTAGAGGGGTCGAAGAATCCAAAAGATTAGCATTTGAGAGAACACAGAGAATAAATGCACCGGCGCCATTGCGAACGATTCTGAGCCATGTCATTCAAGGTCTCTAACCATCGATTATTATCATCTCGTAGACCCCAACCAGGTAGTCGACAATTACCGACATGGCTCAGTCCACTAGTCAATGAATTCATGGATTTCTGCCATGTTTTGGTTTGGCCGCCCCTAACTTTCTTCCAACCTATTCCCACACTACAAAACAAGCCCTGATGCTGCTTCCCGGGGTCTTGCTGGCGTAGGCATAGCATTGAGTCCTAGGGCAGAACAATCTCTCCTTGACTGGATCCCAATAGATAGTCGATTGTGCGCTGTCCGACTAAACGGCACAGTAAGGACTCGGAAAGATAGGGACACTCGTCGTTGCCTCTTCATCGTATCTGCCTATGCCCCCACTGAATGCAGTTCAGACGAGGTTAAGGATGAGTTTTACAGGAAGCTTTCGAAACTCCTCCAGAAAGCTAGGCGCTCTGATATAGTCATAATGGCTGGTGACTTTAGTGCTCAAGTAGGTAGACTAACTGAAAATGAAAGACACCTTGGTGAATAATATGGTGTCGCGGCTCAGGGAACAGTCTGTTGCAAGCATGCTCAGACAACCGCCTATTCTTAGCAAACACTAACTTTAGGCATAAGGAAAAGCATCTCTTGACCTGGCGACCTCCAAAGTCGTCTCAACGTTGGACTCAACTAGATCACATCGCCATCAGCCACCGATGGAGAGGTTCGATAGAGGACTGTCGCTCGTTCTGTGACAAATGTTTGGATTCAGACCATGTCCTAGTGCGAGCGCATATTTGTTTGAAGCTTACTGGGCGTAGGAAAGACATCGTAAGAAAGCCTCTTAGGGTTTTACTTAATGATAATAAGGCGAAAAATATATTCCAGGAACAACTAGAAAGACAGTTAGGCGACCAAGTAAGCGATTCCCATCCGGAAGCAGGATGGAATGATATCAAAAAGGCTGTGGAAACAGCAGTGATATCTGCTAGTAAGGTTGACCATAAGGCTAGAATGAAACCGTGGATCTCAGTAGCATCCACCGATCTGATGGATGCCCGAAAACCCACCCCACCTGGCTCTGAACATGATGAAGAACGAAGTCAACTTAGGCGCAGGCTGATAAAAAGTCTACGTAACGATCGCGAACAGTGGTGGGTGGCGAAAGCAAAAGCGATGGAAAAGGTAGCGGCGATCGGCAACAGTAGACAACTTTTTCGACTTATCAAGGAAACTGGTATTAGGAATCCTAGTGTAAGTGAGACTATCTCAGAAAATGACGGGACTATTATTTATTCTCAATCCAGGAGACTGGATCGATGGGCAGAACACTTTAAGGATCAGTTCAACTGGCCTCGAGCCACTCTTCAGTTACCCACGATCTCCAGTCATCCTGGATGGCAAATCGACCTAAGTCCCCCTAGTCTTAATGAAGTTGAAAAAGCGTTAGGAAATCGGTAGCGAGGACGAGCTGCAGGTCCTGATAGACTGACCCCTGAGATATTTAGTGATGGTGGTCCAGTTTTAGTGGCTAGGAAACGGGTACTAGGTAAGAATGGCAGATCAATCGACGAAGTGGTGAAACTTCATCAGTTGAGGTGGTTGGGACACGTGTTGCGTATGCCCAACCACCGACTGCCTCGTCGAGCTTTGTTTTGTAGTGTAGGAATAGGTTGGAAGAAAGTTAGGGGCGGCCAAACCAAAACATGGCAGAAATCCATGAAGTCATTGACTAGTGGACTTAGCCATGTCGGTAATTGTCGACTACCTGATTGGGGTCCGCGAGATGATAATAATCGATGGCTAGATACCTTGAATGACATGGCTCAAAATCGTTCGCAATGGCGCCAGTGCATTTATTCTTTGTGTTCTCTCAAATCCTAATCTTCTGGATTCTTCAACACCTTTAGCTTTGACTTTCTAAACTTATCTCATTGAATCATACTTCGTGAATAATATCTTCTAATTCTAACCTCTCCGATTACTTCTAATACCTTTACTACCTCTTCTACTATTGGATTTGAATTGACAATTATATCTCTGTGCTGATGTGGTATGGCGACATGAACTGATGTACTTATGTACGAAGTTCTACGTTGCAACTGACTGACGTTTGGTTAGCAGATGGATATCTTGTCTAAGCCACAGGTGCCGCAAATTGGCAAAAGCCAATCGAGCTTTCTGTATCCGTGCTGAGAATTCGTCAGACACCAAGCCATCGGCACTACTGATGAGAATCCCAAGATAAGTGAAGCGGTCGACATGCTCAACTACTTCACTCCCTATCAGTAGTTCAAGTGCCGATGTAACCCAATCCTGATACAACATTTTTCGACGGGGAGAACCGCATCCCGAACATGTTTGGTTTGTTGTTTAGGGTAGCCAGAAGACTGCATTTTGTCAGCGTCTTCACGATCATCACCTTCATCAACATATTCTAAATCGACAAGTGAATCTGCCAGTAAAACTTTAATCCTGGAGAGTCAGTCAGTGAAAGTGTTGTCCTTAAAAGAAAATCAATGACAGTTGAATGGGAATAGGAAGAGACTGTTTCCAAATTTTAAGTAAGAACTGGTCCAAAATGATTTATTTTGTCTTGCTATCTGTAAAGGATTGACTAGCTGATACGAGATTATCAACAACAGAAATACAAAAAGTAGGTACAAGAATCGATCTCATTATGTACAACCTAGGTGATTAACTCTTCCACTGAGTGAAAACGTTATATTGCATCAACTAGAAGTAATAAAACAAATGTAAATAGAACACCTATATAAATTTTTGACACAACTCAATTACTGATAGTTGAATATGACATCGGTGTTTATAATTAAATTCATGAATTCTAGATTTCTATGCTAATCATACTATGAAGTAATAATGTTAACAGTGCTCTAGGAATTAGTATTTTGCATAAGAGTGAATTCTCAAGGATAAAAAATTATCAAAGTTACACTCAATAGATTTTGAAGCAGTTCGATGATTAAAAATGTTTAATGGCAATTTAAAAAATAGAAATCAAGATATGACAACGTCCGTAAATTATGTAATAATCAGTTTTAAAATGAAATACTGAAAGAATATAGATGTAGTAAAAACTGAAATCCGGTGTTGAAACTTGGGGAAATATATTGATGTGTTGATGATTTCGGAAGATTGTTCAATTTAAGCGTAGCTTATATCATGGATTGATTTAGCTTGACAACTACGGTGAACAGAGAGACATGAACTGTAGGAAGAATATCTTTTTTGATAAATTCTCATTAGTT